AATTAGTAAAGGAGAAAAAAAATAAAAATGCAGAAAAACCTGCGTTCCTACAGACTAGCGCCTAAACGAATGTTCCGATTTCAATGAAACTTCACTTAAGTCTTCTTCTCGACACCCTTTAAATTAATCTATATAACATACTTCAAAGAAAAGAAGCTGGAAAAAAAGTTACTAGGGATGGTAAAATTAAATTCCAATTAACTCAAAAAGTATACACTTTTTTGGGGATATTGTATGTTTTTTTAAAAGGTTATGGAATTTCCTAAAAAAACAAAAAAAATCGTTAAATTCGGACAATTAGGAGGAAAGATATGGTCTCTTTTTCCCCCCTGAAGAGGCGAAAATTTGGATAAATTTAAAATGTATTTTTTTAATTGTTGAGACTAAAAAAAACTTTTTTCTACAGATATTTAATAAAGTGTCTTTCCTAAGAACATCTTTAATAAGAAATAAGTACCTAAATTTATACTTTTATTCTCAATTCTATATTTCAACACTGCAATCACCACCTCTGGAATCAACTTACTCATTGTCTGCATAGATAACTTTTTAACTAAAAATATCACTAAAATGACATCACTCAAAAATGTTGAAATTGGAGTTGGTCATTCTGTGGTTTATAAAAGCAAAGATAGTTGTGTGGTTTATAAAAGCAGATGAACTGACTAGATTTTTATTGCCTGTCGTCGATATATTAAATAGAAATTTTTTAATTATAATGGTCTTAATGACTTGTTATCTGTAAGCTTTAGCTCCGTTTAAAATGCACTTCAAAAAATTTTATAATAGCCCAGCATTGCCAGGAAATAATTTCTATTCAAAGTAGATCGGTAAGTGAAAGTTGTGTGTTGCGCGCACCAGATTTTTCATTAGTTGTTAACAGATTTTGAGCTCGTGCATCGAGTGCAGCTTCACTAAGCAACAGTTTATTATCAAACATTATAAACAAGGCGTAATCGGTATCAGTACAGGATGCAAGTTTTTATTTATTTATTTTATATAATTTTTTCTTTTAATAAAATTTTCATAATTTCTCCTATATAGCGTGACCAAGACACCTGGAACTAGTCTCACACTTTTATATATGCACGTAATTTGAATAATGTTTAGTTTAATTACTAGCATTGTATGACCCGTTTTAACATATTTTAATTAAATACTGATAATTACTCTTTTAGCTGGATACTACGTATATAGTGTTTTTTATTTTTATTTATTCATGATATTTACAACTGTATTAAAATATAAATACATCTAGTAAATGTGAACATAGGAATATAATGCCATGGAAACGCTTGATGAGGAACTACTCGCAGGTAGCACTCTAATAATATGTCTACATTATGAGATCACGAGGCCATCTTCTTTTCAGGCAACGAGTAAGACTATCAGGGATCGATGAGGAAGCAAGGTTAGAAACAAGAGAGTTCAGAAGTTTATTATGGAAGGATAGGTATCTGTATTGGACCAAATCGGAAAAATATGAAACATCAATGTCGTTTTGGATGATTTAATTTGACAAAATAAGGAGTATTTTGGATTGTAAGAAGGAATTCGGGAGGAATTCGATGGTTTAGTGAAGCCCCCAAAGTTCAACACAGTTAGTTCAAACAGGCCTTTTTATAGCCATGTATATGAGTATTTTGTAATCAATTGAGTTTAAAGTATGCAGGGTTTAGGAATTTACAAAGTTTGTAAAGCAATTCCTGGTACCAGAGTCGATGAAAAGCTTCATATATAGTGTTAAATCATTCAAATGCTCATATCCATATGTTTGTTTTTATGTTTTGCTTTCAAGATTGGATAAAATCTTGGGAGACCGAAGTAACAATTTCTTTTTGGATTTATATATTATAAACATCATTAAATGCTATTTGAAGGCCCCACCAAAAAAAAAAAAAAAATTAAATCCTGTATCCGCTAGTGGCTGTTACAACTACATAAGTACATTATATATGTACCATATGTACTGTATACTTTTAAGCATTTTTAAAATGTATACTGTCAATTCATAAATTTAAAAAACGTTTAATATTTTTTTTTTCAATATTATGCTCTCGGCCAAATTTTATAAACCAAAATTTCCAATTTACAGAATACTTTTCCGGGGAAAAAATCATGAAAACGTGTTTTTGTTTTTCTTTAAATTTTAGGCTTTGATGTGTATTTTTAAAAGTCATTCTCCAACCTTAGAAAACTTATTTTTCCGTCCTTCAGATTTGCTTATCTTATATTTTTCCGTAGTTCCGGTCCCCGTGTGGTCTTGAATGATTAAAATCATTAAAGGGCATAAAGTTAAAGAGGAAGGAGATGGTCCGGAGTGGCGGTCATAAATAGGCTGAATAGTGGCAAAACTATTTTATTTCAAGCCAACATTTCGACTCGATTTTGCAGGTTTTCTTCAAGGACTACAGCGAACAAGATATAAAAGGACATAGAAAATTGTGTAAGTTACATAATATTTGGGTAAAAATGATAAACAAGATGAATAAACTTATTGAAATTATAAACAGTAAGTATATTGAAATATTAAGAACAATAAACTATATGAACAGAGTAAACTAAGTAACACGATCCTAAACTGAATTAAATAAATGGTAAATAAATTTTATGTAAAAATTTAAAATGGTATAATATGTATAATATAATTTACACTGGCTTCATCACCAGTGACTTCGTTGAGAGAGTGGCGCAGGGATCTGTTAGAGCTGCTTTTCCCTCTATAGTTAGAGGGAGAAGCCTGGCTTGGGGTTCCCTGCCTGATTGTATATATTGTATATAGGTATGACTGTGTTTTTATGTTTTTAATTTACTTATCTTTAGGTTATTTTATTTTTTTATTGTACATAGTTTTTGATTATTATTTTATTTTTGGTAATTTTATATTTTCTGTATATATGGTGTGAATGTGTTCATATATCACTATAATCATTGTCCACGAGACAGAATATTATATATCTAAAAAAGAATACAAATTTTTTTTTAAAAATATGTACAATTATGAATATACTCCTACAGATCTCAAAGAGAGATTGGAAGAAAAGGATAAATAAGATCAAATAATGGACATAAAGGGATGTGAAGAAAGAAAATAAAACAAAAAAATTAATTAAATACAATAAAATAAAAGAATAAAAATAGAGATTAATAGATGTGTTCAGAAAGGAGTTTTAGTTAAAACTGGAAAAACTTGTGTAGAGAACCTTGGGAAAATTTGCTGACCTGGTTGGGGAGTGTTGAGGGGCTAAGTAGTAAAAGCAAAACAAAAATTGAAATATTACAGTATCTAAAATTTGAAGATGTTGATGGATACAAGAAAAAATACATTATCTATGAATTAATAAATTATAACTATATACATATACATATAAAATAGAATTAAGACATTATAGATAGAAGTGCAATGTGAATAAAAACAAAAATGAAAGAAGTAAAACGAAAATAAAAAAATAAGAGACCGGGGGTAAGTAGTAAAAACAAAAGTTGAAATATTACAGTATATAAAATTTGAGGATATCGATGGATACAAGAAAAAATACGATAACTATGAATTAATTAATTAAATATATACATATAAATATAAAGTTAAATGTTTTTAAATAAACATCTCCCAGATAAATCAGTATAACTTCCTCGCTGATTTTATGAGATACTTAAGAAAACACGCAATTGGATATAATTGAAATTGAATTATTTACATCACTTCTCTCCACTTTTGATCCAAATCCAACGAGTCGTTTTTTATACAGAGGCGTATTGTAGTACGTTTGGGAATTCTTAAGCGAAAGTAGTGGATGGAATTTGATAACTGTGTTATCAGACCATCTAGATACCTACCAGCACAGTATTTGAAAATTTCATTCTGATCGGAGTAACGTATGTGATATCACATCGATGATTGGCACGGCACCAAATTTGTTTCTTGATGTTGTAACGTCCCGCAAGAATACAATGGTTTTCTATCATCGGTAGTTTAGAAGTGAAAAAATCATAATTCATCGGAATATTATTATTGAAGTGTAAAACTAATAAAATTGTTATTTTAAAAACTGAAATATGATAAAGTAATTGAAAATTGCATTAATTACTTTTAGTAATAAAAGAAAATTGGCAATGATTATATTTAAAAAATAAATTACAACATGAACAAAATAAACAAGACGTAAATTGTAATAAATATTTTCTACATTAAAATTATTTAATAAATTCTTCCTTTTTTTTCTGTAAAGCTAATCTACAAACATTTATGCAATTGTATAAAAATCCATTTCATATTACGTACATGACCTTCCATGGGTTGAAGTGGTACGAGTTTTTATCTATTTATTTAATTTTTAATTCTGCCAATAAACATTTAAATAAACACGATCCAGATTTGTCTTATGAGATAAAAAATAGCAATTGATAAGTATAAAATGTTATATCTTATAATATGTCATTTATACTGTAAAATAAAATAGAAACTCAAATTCTTTTATTTTTATTATTACAAAATAATAATAAATTAAAGTGTATATATGTATAACTCATCATAAAATAAGTATCACTGATGGTTCTGTTCATTGGTTTGTTTAACTTTTCTTAACTGTATTCATTGGATCTGTATTGAAAAATTGCTAAATTATTTTTATAATATAAAAAAATAAATATACAAGCAGAACTTCTGAAAAAGGGAATGGAAAATAATAATATTTGCTTGCCGATATCCAATGAAGAAATCACTCTATTTAATTGACACACGACTGAGTCAAAAGATAAATGTCTTAATAATTTTAATGCTTAAAGGGATCGATAAGATTACAAAAGGTTACAACGGAAAACTGACATTTCGCACACACACTTTATTAATTACAGGACCGGTCGATGTTATTTCACCATATAAGAACATTCTCAGAAAATGCTCGTATATATTTTTAATATTGTATGTATGTATAGCATCATTTCCTTAACAAAAAATCTGCTTGCTTATAATTATTACGAATACGTATTTGCTGACAGACCTGTGGATGGAAGTATCGACAAACTCACGCAACGGAATCAAAACGGCGACTGACACCCCGTTCGCCGGCAACGCTCCAAGCGTCGGTTGGCTCAACTAACCGATTCATCGACGTGCTCAATTAAATTTATTAAATGTTAATTTAATTGCGGTTGTGCCTTCCATATATCAAAATTATTACAAAGCAAATTTTCTGTTTTAAGCACTGGCGGATTTATGGATGGAGTTTTCGGGCTATACCCCCAAAATACAATTTTTTTTCATTAGTCTGTATTTTTTTATGTATATGATCTAAGCTAAATACTTAAACAATCACAAAATATTCTATTTTGAAATTATAATGTATATATGTGTATGTATGCGTGTTATGTATTTATTATAATTTAAAAAATCTGGTGCGCGCAACACACATCTTTCATTTATCGCTCTACTTTGAATAGAAATTATTTTCTGTTAATGCTGGGGTATTATAAACTTTTTGAAGTGCATTTTAAACGGAGCTAAAGCTTAAGGCTTACAGATAACAAATAATTAAGACCATTAAAATTACATCTATTTATTATGTCAACGGTAGGCAATGAAAATCTAGTTAATCCACCTGATTATATAAACTACACAGCTTCAATCTCTGAGCCTTTCAGTTGAAAGAATGACTAACTCTAATTTCAACATTTTTCAGTAATGTCACTAATATTTCTAGTTGAAAAACTTATACCAAGCGTCGGTTGGCTCAATTAACCAATTCATTGACGTGCTCAATTAAATTTATTAAATGTTAATTTAATTGCGGTTATGCCTTCCATATATCAAAATTATTACAAAGCAAATGTTCTGTCTTAAGCACTGGCGGATTTATGGAGGGAGTTTTCGGGCTGTATTTATTGAATTTTAAAAAATCTGGTGCGCGCAACACACAACTTTCACTTATCGCTCTACTTTGAATAGAAATTATTTTCTGTTAATGTTGGGGTATTATAAAATTTTTGAAGTGCATTTTAAACGGAGCTCAAGCTTAAAGCTTACAGATAACAAATAATTAAGACCATTTAAATTATAAACTTTCTATTTATTTATCCAAATATTTAACCTATAAATAATTATGGATTGTAGTATTATTAGTCATTAAACTGTTATTTTCCATTGCAAAGTTTATTAAAATTAAATTACGAGATTTTCATTGCTTGCCGCACTAGCGGATCCAGGATTTAATTTTGGGGGGCTTCAGCCCTAAAATTTTGTTTTCATAAAAATAACGATAATTACTTTGGAAAAAAAGAAAGAAGCTAACTACCTATATGAAATGGTGTTTAAGTGATTCCTAAAGCCCTCTTAAATGTAATTACACGAATAATAATACTTTAAGAGATACTTTTTTAATATTTTTTTCGAAAAAACATGGTTATATTTTAGCATTTTGGGGGGAGGGGAGGGGCTTCAGCCCGAAAACCTCCCCTCCCCCCGTGGCTTGCCGTAGATAGGTCATAAGTTGTCATACTAATTGTAAGTGGATAATGTTGGGGTTTTACAAAGAGATAATCCATGAAATTATTCAATAGTTTAGTTTTCTAAAATGTTACTTGATGATTTTTTGGAACAAACGGCCGATAGATACCTAATTATTTAAATATAAGATAAGATCTAGAATTATTAAACTACAGTAAATTTATTTAAGGTTATACGCATATCCATGAAATATTTTTATATTTCACTTCTTCTTTCACACAACTACAATGAAATAGTATTTTTAACTATGGCATTGGCTTGATTCGATGAATTTTAAATACTTTTTTCTCGAACCTAGAAAAAAATTTAAAAGTTTACATTTAGTAACAAAATTGCATTTAATTTCCTTAGAAAAATGTGATTTATGTTTAATAATGTTAGTTTTCTGAAAATATTATTTATATATTTTTTGTCAATCTCCGTTACCTTCTACAACTTTCTTTATTTGATATTATTTTTCGAATTTTTTATTCCAACGATATATTATACGTATACCTTCTACTATTATTTCCGGAGATTCATTTTCGACCTGCATAAGCAGTTTTCTTTTTTTATCTTTTATTCAATTATCGAATTCTTTCAAAAGTTATATTTAGCCATTTTTTATATTTACTGTCAATAAAAGAGAGTTCAATTTTCAAAATAAACCATATTAAAGGTACTTTAGAGGAAGAACCTATATATGATATTAAAGACCACTCAATTATACAATGATAAACCGAGTTTAATCAAAATCGTTGGAGTCGTTTTAGAGGAAAATTGTAAAAATGTGTTTCACATTTGATATAAAGTGGCACTTCTGGATTGCCAATTTTAAGGAAATAGTTGCTGTCACATCTAAGGCATATCTTAAATACGTAATATCATTTTCGTACGACATTTCGTTTTTGAGCTAGACTGCTAACATACACACACACAGACCATTTTTCGGGACTTGGTTATTTGTATTCAGAAGATCTCAAAACATGTATTTCCGTTGAAAACTCGGATTCGAAAATTTTCACGGTCGCAATACTTTTTCTTACTATATATTCCATGTATAGGTAAGTGAAAATAAAAACATTTTCTACTCCATCTCGATCCGTCAACTTTTGATACCATCTGCGTTTTGCAACCTCTATATTTCTTCATTGACTTTTGTCGAAGTGTTATAATATTTTTTTTAAATTATTTTAATGGAATTTACAACTGTATTACATAGAGAATACAATAAGTAAATGAGAAATTGGTAACATGACATGTACAACATGAAGAGAAACTACCCATTGGTAGAACACAAATTAAAGTTCTATATTTGAAGATCCCGAGGCCATCTTCTTTTCAGACGCCTCGGAGGGTTATCGGGGATCGAGGAGGAAGCAAGGTTTGAAACGAGAGGATTCGGATGGTTCTGCAGTTTGTTATGGAAGGGAAGGTATCTGGATTGGGCCAGATCGGAAACATATGGAACATTAAGGTCTTTATGGATGATTTTATTTGTGACAAAGTAAGGAGCATTGAGGATTTTACGAAGGATTTTGGACTGTAAGGATTGGATACGAGAGGAATTCGATGGCTTAGTGGAGCCCCAAACCTCAATTCCGTAAGTCCAAATAGGTCTTATTGTCATATATACGAGTCGTTTATAATTGATTGAAAGCTTAGAGCGTTTGTCTAGTAAGTGCTGCAGTAGTTATAATATTTTAAGTTTTAAAAATTGTAATTCCTCGCTTCTCCATGATATTCTCTTTCGTTTGATACCTCATTCATCAAAATTCATGGATGGATATTTGCAGTGTAATTTGATAAAATTGATTGAAGTAAAGTATCGATTGTTATAGTTTTTTCTCTTATTGGAATGAAACCACTTTCATGACAATGGAGTTAATATTAACCAAGTTATCGACGATTTTATGTGAACTACACTAATTTCACAATATTTTTCAAACAACGTTATATTAGATTGTTTTATATATTTTAAAATTTCCAAGTTGTTTAACACACGACAATCTCTTTTTTAATATTTCATTTTAATCTTAAATATAAATATATAATAAAATATTATATATTTGTATCCACTCAGCAACTACTTCATAACAGCTAATTGATAAGATGTCAATCGAAGACTTGTCATCTTATTTCAAGTATGGAATCTTTCCCATACTTGGTCTTTGCTCGCAAACAGTGGTAAGAAGTAAAATATCAAATAAGTATTTTCTGAGAAATTCAAGGGTGTTGATGAATAGGAAGTCATCGAATAGTCACTAATTATATATTTCAATGCCAGTGAAATGGTTGAGGAAGAAGCGCAGGGATCTTCTGAAGCCTTGCTTTCCCTCCACGTGTGGGGGGATAAGTATGGTTCGGAGTTCCTATGGCCGACTGTAAATAGTGTAAATAGGTATGCCTGCGTCTAAGATGTTTATTTTCATTACTTTTTTTTTTTTTCTCACTATGATATTTTATTTTGTTCTTTTGTAGCTTTATATTATTTGAAGTTAGCTTATTTTTTTTTTTTATTTGTGAATATGGTGTGAATGTGCTCTCAGAACTCTATTATAAATGTCCTTTATTGAGACAGATTGTAATATTTATCAATAAACAAAAAAAAATAATAATAAAAAATTATATATTAACTTATTTTTAAATAACGTCGTTCAGAAAATAGTATGGTTTCACTTAAAATCGTCCATAATTTTTACTTTCACTTACGTATATATGTAATATATAGTAAGGGTAAGTATTGCGATCTTGAAAATTTTCAAATCTCAGTTTTCAACGGAAATACATGTTTTGAGGTCCCCTGAGTTCAAATAACCAAGTGTCGCAAAATGGTCTGTGTGTGAGTGTGTGTGTGTGTGTGTGTGTCCGTGTGTGTGTGTTAACAGTCTAGCTCATAAACGAAAAGTAGTACGAAACTGATATTAAGTATTTAAGGTTTGTATATGAGCCGGATGTGACAGCAACTTTTTCGTTAAAATCGGCTAACCAGAAGTGCCACTTTATATCAACGCTGAAACACATTTTTACAATTTTCTCAAAAACGACTCTAACGGTTTAGATCAAACTCGGTGTGTTATTGTATAATTAAGTGGTCATTAATATCATTTAGGTCTTATCCCCGTTGATGTCACTTTACAGGGCTTAAATGCCCAATGTTCATATATGTCTTCCTCTAAAGTACCTTTAATATGGTTTATTTTAAAATGTTAACCATTTCGCATTATTTAGAGTTACGAAAAAATGGTACATATAACTTTAGAAAGAATTTGATAAGTTAATAAAGGAGAAAAAAAATAAAAATGAAGAAAAACCTGCGTTCCTATAGACTGTAGCGCCTAAACGAATGTACCGATTTCAATGAAACTTCGCTAAAGTCATTTTCTCAATACCCTTTAAATTTATCTATATAACATACTTCAACGAACTATATATAATCTATATAACTTTTTCAACTAAAAATATCACTAAAATGACATCACTCAAAAATGTTAAAATTGGAATTAGTCATTCTGTGGTTTGTAAAAGCAAAGATAGTTGTGTGGTTTATAAAAGCAGATAAACTGACTAGATTTTTATTGCTTAC